CGGGTGGAATAGCTGCACATTAAAGAGTTGAGCTGTGGGTCACATGCTGTCGCTCCCCATCCATCAGTTCCCTTCCAACCCGATAACGGTAGAGGGGGGGCTTTGCAAAGAAAAAGGCCGAGAAGGGGAGGAAGGTGGGACCAGGTACCTGTAAACACCGCTCGCATCTTCTTTTCACTGTGCTTGCAAGAGGTAAAGGCTGATCAACGTACTGGAGTCTGCACATCGGAGCCATACACAATCAGATGCCACCTGTACAAAATCTAAGCACCACCATGCCATCGCTTGTCAATGAACTTGGTTTCGATGATCTAAAGGACAAAACCTTCATCTACTGATAATGATTGATGTTGATAATATCCATATAATAAAGAGCATCCAGTGAAACGAGATGGGAACTTCTGGAAGGTGAGAATTGTTTCATCAGACTCTGTATACAGAGGTGTTTCTGTGCGCCCTATGGATATGTATCTTCGCACAATTAAATCATATACCACCGCAATCGCTTTCGCAAACAATTGTATTTGTCACGTCAGCTGTGCTGATAAATTCAAATACGACTTGCTTAAGGATGGACGACTCATGTACGAGTGCTGATTATTGCTGCCCAATGTGGTCTTCATAACTTCAGATGAGTCGGTGTGTCATTATTTAAACATCTGATTTTGCTGTGATGAGGTAAATGCTTGTTAACCCAGACAAATGCCGTACCTTGGATACTTCCTGTAAATTGAGCTATTCGCATCAAGCACACAGAGCATCTGGTAGTACCGATTTGCTAAGGTACATAAACGTTGATATGTGACACAGATTTCATACTAATCCATTCTTTCTTAGAATGTGATGGATGGTGTTGCTTGAGGATGTCGTTTAGATTCTTTTTCAGATGTACAGTACAACAAAAACCTCCTCTTATGCTGACACACCAGTAAGGGATAAATAGCCACCTCGTTGTTACAGAATTTAACTTTTGGGCCCCAACCCCATCACGAACGAATATGCTACCCTCGTCCGCGCTCATCCGCAACCCCTCAATCTTTCATCTGTGACTCTCACGTTTCACCATTCCCGCATTCCAGCCTCCGCGCGCACGCGCAGGGACGAGAATCGAACAACGGGACTGCCTGAGCATAACACCAATTCACCAAATGCTAACGACTCACTACTTGCAGAAAAGGTTTAGCACTTCACAATTTGCTGTTAACCTTTTACATTCTTCGCAGCAGTTCGCCATTGCGTCCATTCGTTTACAATCGCTTCTAGGCAATGCTATCTTAGCAGCAAGAGCACACGTAGTTTTACGCGCCCCAGGGCCTCTTACTGCTCATGGAAGAGCTTTCGAATCTTGAGCCAACGATTTCATGCTATCCATCACAATATCACAAATCCAATCCCACATGACATCAACGGAATACATGGAACTGGTCTAACTAACGTGGGCTACTTGACACTCAAGACAGATGCATTCTCTATATATCCAATATCTCGTCTAACACCACATGGGTTACTCCCCCTCTCGGCATAACGGTAACACCAGTAAGCAAATCACGACCGCCCACACAGTACACAACACTAGTACCACCTCCGTCGGACATCCCAGTGTGAAACAGAAATCAAGACATTAGTATCAGCAAGTCAGAATACTTTATTAATCCCACGGGCGGGGAAATTCACCTATACCAGATCATAGGTCGTGCTCTTCACTACTCCTAAGACACCGACATCACCACAGCGTTCTGTGCGTGGCCCGCGCCGCGAGGTCAAATCGCCTACCACACATCAGCACGGGGCGCGGCTGAGCAACTAGTGAGTCAGCGTGTTACAGATCCTAGTTGCTCCGATAATATTCACAGCACACTCGCGATAAATCCCTACTACTGTACCGCGTTGAGCAACACATTTGAGGCGTAACTGTCTACTACTGTACACCATGTTCTGTCCATTTCCTTCTGATTCAACCAGTACTACCTGCCACAGAAGCGAAAGCAAACAAACGCCGGAGCATAGCCACGCGAGCTTCGCTAGTATTTATACAAACAACACTCGAAGTATACGCGACCCTTGTAACTGTACATGCCACCCATCTTCTTACTACGAGAACACATGCTACTATGAATCTACTACATCAAACCTAGAATTCTGACTACTGGTTATTTAGATGGATATAGAGTAAATGGTTATGGTCAACAATTTGCATACAGTATTACCCTCACATGACCTTATTATATTCACGCATGTACTACTTAATATACTATCAAGAATAATAAACATCATCATATGAACATATAAAGCCACTTCGTAATGGCTTATTATAACAACAATAACAATAAAACACATCATATTAACCTCCATTTAACAGAACTGAAAAAAAACAACTAGGTAAGATAACAGTGTCTAAAATCCTTAACGCTCAATTCATTTAATTATCGGACTATTTGAATAAACCGAGCGGAAGACAGATTAAACAAAAAGCATTTAAATTCTTAAACACAGTTATTTACTTCGTATGTAAGAAAAAAACATTCCTGACTTAAAGTAGCTTTGGTAAATTTTAAGACACGCTGAACTAATCTGAATAATTTATTCTACGGCGAAAAAAAAAAACACCGAGTTTTACGAAACCTCTTCTAATCAAGAATGTTTCTGTACCCTACAAAACTGTTAGTGTCACTAAAATTACAAGTGAAGAAGCGAATCTTTTGCGAAACCTGAGAAAATTGACGATTGCGTTACCTGTAATTCTAACCAGTTCAATAGTAAGGAACGCTTAATTGCATTCACGTGAGTTACCGTATCAAATCCTGGCTATAGACTAGGAAAATGAAATATGTGTGATAAAATACTTCCAGTCTGAATATACGCATATCTAAATAATGTGTAAAATATCCAGATGATACAGAATTACCACCCACAGTCGGCAATAATAAAGTGAACCGCTACTATGTAATGTTGTATTTCCGGCTAGGTTTACAACTTCTGGGATTCATACACACCGTCACCCCAACCCAGCATCCTGAAGTGCAGTTCTCATACCTGGAAATCCTCTGATTGGCCACAATTAAAAAAATAATCTAGGGTTAGTCCAAATTCTAGCGGAGGGGGTCGGGGTTACCTGGTTTAGGGCTAACTTTTGAGTAAAAAACCTAGCCATGGCCTTGCACACACCAACCCTTGTAGCCTACTCCTTTTTGGGTTCAGCTATTTTTAATCGTTTTAATTCTTCGGTGACCACTGTAGCCTACAGTCCGGTACACTCAGGAAACGAGTGTGAGTTCTCCATTAATGACACTAAACAGCAGCCACATAAATGTAAAACCCTGGCTGCAATAGACATAACAAATCCTCCCCTATCTGAAACCAGAATATCATCGTACGCAGAAAACGCTGCCAAAGTTAACGCACAATGAAATCTGAGAAAGAGCTGGAAAATTTATACACAGAATTAACCTCGAGCATGACTCTAGCTTCACTGCCCTGAATCCACGCAGACAGCCAGAAACAACAAAGCATCGAAGAGCAAAATGAGTAAAAGAATCAAATTTCATTACTAGGTTCAGTCAAAGAGAATCATCGCTCCATAATTTAACATGCTTTGAAGGTAACCATTATTATTTGAACTCTCTCACCATGTCAACTTCTATTCAGCTTTCATTTTTAAGAGGGAGTCGCACAGGCAGGGGGGGTGGCACGGGGCCACTGCACCTGAGAAGATCTCCCATCCAAACCTCCCATTCATGCATTGCACTTGATGTTTCACCTCAATAGCAGGAATCCATTCAGCATGACCATTTTATTATCAGTTTTTGAACTCTTTTCTGGGTAAAGTCCAAACTGCGAAAAAAATCCCATAGAATTTTGCTTTGGTTGTTTCTTTCTGTTGAGTTGTGTCCGTTTTTGTTTGACTTTGAGTGCTATGCAAACATGTCATCAGAAGGGGGTCAAATGCATTTGAACTCTGTAACGTGTTTGCGTTGAATGGGAACATACACCACACAGTCTGTTCCCATAACCACTCTGCCGGCTTTGTTCAACATCCAAACACAATTCATATGACCTGTTGTTTAGGCAAAGTTAGGTTAATGTGTGCACATACATGTAGATCGTAATATTGAAGCATCCTACATGTACATACAGTACGGCACACTCCCCAGGTCATCGACCAGGAAGTCTGTTGTGCCTGCAGTCGCCACCAAACACAATCACTTCCACTTCAACCCATGCAGATCTGTAGTCAGCGAGCAGGATTGGACGCACCCGACCCCAAACATGAATGCCCCCCCCCCCCCCGCCAA